ACCACTTTGGTAAGTTTAGTGTGATACCTCCTAACCATTTCATAAGCAAAAGTATCCGTCATGGAATTGATGTTGCAATCCCAAGTGACAACAAAGTTCATTTGCTTTCCTGGTGGCTGTATTTGCGTAACTGATTGAAACCATGATTAGTTAGATCACATCCTTTAATGTTCACACACATTTCCAAATGTGGAAGATTAACAGGTGAAGGGTTCTCTTTAAATCCTGGTTGAATCAGTTTATCTTCAAAAACAGAACCAGGTATGTTAGTTGGGAGATGGAATGCAGTTTAATTATCTTGCTCTACCAGTATGCCAGTGTGTATCCAGTATAAAGCCACTTTTAGAACAGGTCTGTGAGGTTTGACGTTGTACAATTTATAAGTTGGTTTCACGTAACAATACAGGAGGATTTAGTCAAGTCCATTTGTAAATGTCCAAGTGTCACTATCGCAAATATACTAGTTTAGGTTTATTATGAAGTTAAAATCTTATGTGTGTTTCTCTGGAAAAAACTTAAGTTTTAAAATGTGGAATCTTAGGATGCCAGCAAGGGGCATGGTTGTTAAGACACTGGACTCCTACATGGCAGACCATGGTTCTAGTTGCAGACTCAGCAGCTTGAAAATCATGCCAGGTGTGTGTGCATGCACGCTAAAAATCCCTAGAGGAGAATGGAGAAGGGATTGTGGCATGGCCATCCACCCGGTGGGATGTTTTCTCACTGGTTGAATCAGTTTATCTTCAAAAACAGAACCAGGTATGTTAGTTGGGAGATGGAATGCAGTTTAATTATCTTGCTCTACCAGTATGCCAGTGTGTATCCAGTATAAAGCCACTTTTAGAACAGGTCTGTGAGGTTTGACGTTGTACAATTTATAAGTTGGTTTCACGTAACAATACAGGAGGATTTAGTCAAGTCCATTTGTAAATGTCCAAGTGTCACTATCGCAAATATACTAGTTTAGGTTTATTATGAAGTTAAAATCTTATGTGTGTTTCTCTGGAAAAAACTTAAGTTTTAAAATGTGGAATCTTAGGATGCCAGCAAGGGGCATGGTTGTTAAGACACTGGACTCCTACATGGCAGACCATGGTTCTAGTTGCAGACTCAGCAGCTTGAAAATCATGCCAGGTGTGTGTGCATGCACGCTAAAAATCCCTAGAGGAGAATGGAGAAGGGATTGTGGCATGGCCATCCACCCGGTGGGATGTTTTCTCACTTTCCTTCTCTGTCTCTCTCCAACAAGTGTATCCAGCCAATGGCAAAAAAGCTTAAAAAAAAATCTTAAATATATAACTAATATTTGTGGCAGGAATAGCAATACATCCTTCCAAGCAATTTCTAAGTGACCTTCTAAAATAAGCCTACTGGGAACTTCAGTCTTTTAGGTAACACGTAGAAATGAAGAACTATGGTTGCAGTACTAAGGAAAGTTGCATTTTCCTATATCAATTTTCTTGACAAAATGAGGAATACATGTCTTAGTTTTTCATAATAAATTTTATTAGTGGATCTTTTGTAACACAATTGAAGAATGTATACATTTTCCAGCCCTAAAAGAACAACACACAATCAGATACTTTCAACATGTCCCAGGATAATGTTTAATATGTATGAGACACTTTCCTTACAAATTTCACAATGAGGCATAAGACTGTTATGAGAAGGCTAAAAAATACTAAAGCTTAATACCCTAATACATTGCAAATAGGTGGAAAACAAAGGTTAACAGGTTATTCATAAGGTCGCAGGCATTATAAAGGAGGGACTGCCCACATTAAATGTTCTTTTTAATTTACGTTTAATCACATTTACTTTACAGTGTACAAGATTGCTTTTTCCAGTACGAATACCATGTACATCAGTCAAGATAAAGACCTTACTATATCTATTATCACCAACAAATAGCTTTTTATCTTTTTTTTCTTTTTTTTTTTGAGAGGTTTTCGCTATAGGGCACGGACGCTCACCAGAGAGAGAGAGACATAGAGACAGAAAGCGAGAAATCACCTCCAGGGGGGATGGTCACGCCACAATCCCTTATCCTCCATTCTCCTTTCGGGATCTTGGGCACGCACGCACACGCGCCCGGCGTGAGTTTTAAGCCACTGGATCCAGGACGCGAACCGCGGTCGACTACGTGGGAGTCCAGCGACATAGCCATTACGCTAACTGCTGGTTCCCATCTTTTTTGTCAATTAAACGTACTGTATTTTCCTTCCTGTTCCCCTCTCCCTCCATTACCCACCCCCCAGCCCCTCCCCCCCATTAGCCCTATCCTCTGGCGCATTTTAGCATACAAAAGCATTTCTCTCCAATACTCAGCTGAATAGAAACTAAGTGGCCAGAAATTTGCTCCAGAACATTTACATCTCTCCCCCAGGCACCCCCATCCCATAAAGTGCATATGTTGGAAAAGGAATTAGGTGTCCAGGTCATGTGGAGTCAGTTGTGCCCTGTCCTAGTACTCAGGATAGATATCAAGAACTCATCAGAGAAATTCATTTTGAGTAGTGGTAGAATGTTTTCCAATCATTATGCAGTTGTGTTATGATTTTCCCCAGATAGTCTCATTTACAATAGAACACATGGTTATTAAAGAGCATAAACAAAGACGCACAGAGAAATTTTGAAATCTCATCTTGGTCTAATTCCCAGCCCCCAATAGCCTTAAATACAATCAAGGGCAATAGGAGATCTATATAAGTAACTACTTTTTATTCTTTAAAAGGTAAACTGAGGTGGGGACAGCAGGTAGTATGGTGGTTAAGGCACTGGATTCCCACATGGAAAATCATTGTTCAAGTCCTTGACTCAGTGCCTTAAAAATCACTCTGCATGCATGTGCATGAAGTGCCCATAATTCCAAAAGGAGAATGGGGAAGGGATTGAAGCATGGCCATCCCCACCAGAGGAAGAGCGCGGTGGGATGATTTCTCACTTTCCCTCTCTGTTTCTCTCTGGCCTGCACACACATCATGTGGAAAAAAAAAAAAAAAAAAAAAAGAAAGAAAGAAAAGTAAATTGAAGCTTGTTTGAACATTTTTTCTTACATGTCTACACTATATTCCCCATATTAGCTTTCTTGAAGTATTATTCATATACATATACAATAAAATTCCATGATTTTAAGTATGGTGTTAAGTTTGTTTGGATAAATGTACACAGCCTAGTAACCAGCATCATCGCCAGGCTGTAGAATATTGCCATCACCTCAGAATAGTCTTTTGTTCCATTTCCAATCAATTTCCTGGCCCCAGTCCTTGGCGACCACGAATTTGCTTTCTGTCAGGCTTTCACTTGACATGTTTTGATATTCTCCATTTGTTCCATTTATCAGTAGTTACTCCTTTCCTTGCTCGACAGCATTGTAACATATGCAGATATCACAAACTGTTTATCCATTCACCCGCTGATGATCATTTATGCTATTCTAATTTCTGGCTATTATGGATAAGCTGCAAAGAACATTAAACCCCAAACTTAGATTTCTCTTAGGTAAAATGCCTCGAAATTAAAAATTATGACTACAGTACTAGAGGAAAGTTGTGTTGTCCTAACTCAATTAATCTGACAAAATGAATACAAGTAGTTCCTAAATAGTCTTTTCATAATAAATTTTATTAGCAGATCTGTTGTAACACAATCGGAAATTGTGTATATTTTTCAGCTCTAAAAGAGCAACACACGATTACATACATTCGACATGTTCCAGGATAATGCTAATTACATGTATGACACTAGTCCTTCAAACTCCAATACATTATAAATCAAATGAAATAATACACTCATACATGAACAAAGAAGTCACACATTAAGAATTTTGTGACTTTTCTAATCTCTAATTCGAAAAGGACAATTTCATTTAGTCCACTTTACAAAGACATATTACATGCTTCTCACAGCAGTTACGTTTGTTTTAATTACAGAATGAACATATTTCCCATTTTATTTTCCAAATGGGAAACATTTCCTAAATTCACAACATCCCTGGGATTGTTCTTAGTCTAAACTTCTATGTAGAAATATCTAAAATAGAAAACTTTTAAGTATTAGAATCCAGGGATATAAGTTTTCACATTCAAAATTATACCGAATCCCAACATTAAAAAATTATGGTTCAACGAAAATCAAAATTACAATGTAGATATCCCTGAATAAATAACAATGTCACCCTAGAGTTAAAAACTACAGGTAATTACTGAATTGTAACACGTGCAGAAACCAAAAAAATTTCAAGTGCTCCAAATACCATTATAAAAATGAGTATTTTACAATATTATGGTCTCTGGAGAAAGATTATATCAAAGAGACTTCATTATTGACAAACTTTTACCTTCAAATTATATTAAAAAATGACTAAGAAATCTTAACTTCATGAGTTAAAGAAAATCAAATGGGTCCCTGACAGAGATCTTTGTGGCAGAAATGTCAACTTTAGAAAGTATATGATACAAAAATAAGATGAGTTTACTGGTATATATAATATTGTTTTGAGAGGTTTTTGCTATAGGGCGCGTGCACTCGCCAGAAAGACAGAGACAGAGAGACAGAAAGCGAGAAATCACTCCCCAGGGGGGATGGTCACACCGCAATCCCTTCTCCTCCATTCTCCTCTCAGGCTTCAAATTATATTAAAAAATGACTAAGAAATCTTAACTTCATGAGTTAAAGAAAATCAAATGGGTCCCTGACAGAGATCTTTGTGGCAGAAATGTCAACTTTAGAAAGTATATGATACAAAAATAAGATGAGTTTACTGGTATATATAATATTGTTTTGAGAGGTTTTTGCTATAGGGCACGTGCACTCGCCAGAAAGACAGAGACAGAGAGACAGAAAGCGAGAAATCACTCCCCAGGGGGGATGGTCACACTGCAATCCCTTCTCCTCCATTCTCCTCTCAGGATCTTGGGCACGCACGCACACGCGCCCGGCATGAATTTTAAGCCACTGGGTGCGGGACACGAACTGCGGTCAACTACATGGGAGTCCAGCAACATAGCCATTATGCTAACTACTGGTCCCACTGGTACATATAATATTGATATTCCCTTATCAATACTTGGAAACTCAATGGCATAATTTGTAAACTAGTCATATAAAGTGAATCTAAAAGTTTATAAGTGAATTTCTATCACTTGACTCTGACAGTCTCCATCTCACTATCCATCACGGAAAGTATCCAAAATACTTTACCAGGGCCCAAAGTGGAGAATCCAGGGGCACTAAGGCACAGGTAACAAACCGCCACATGGTGGCAACAGTGCCGGCCAGTAGAAGTGGGGCACAGCCACTCTGCCTGCATCAGTGCACCCAGTCCCTCGGATGGCGCAGAACTTCCAGAATCTCAGCCTCTTTGGAATTCTCCGAGGGTGAATGCATGTACTCCCATCTATGTTTGTCCAAAACAGAAGCAAAGAATGCAATAACAATAAACATAATAAGCAATATGTAAGTCTTTACTTAAAATAAATAAAAAGTAATATTCTAAGAGTAAAAAGAAGTCCTCTACCTCTTTGTCTCTTCTGTGCCTAATGTGCCTTACACCCACTAGACTTAAAAAAAAAAATAATACAGTTTCTTAATCATTCCTGGACAAGCATTCCTATCCAGAGCTGTAATACACATTTATTATAAAGTGTAGGGCTCATGAAGTGTAGAACCTCAGACCATCCATGAGCAAACTATTCTTAGCTTAATACTTATGCTCAGCTCATTCCCAAAAAAAGTGGAGCAGGTCAATCTCTCTCTAGACACGACTCAGCCTGTGTCCTCACTCCCTCGCTCCCTCCCTCCTCTCACACACAAAGCTATGTCATCCATCTTGTCACCTCTTAAAAAAATCAATTTGCTTTGCCTTATATGACCATGATCTTTTTTTTTTTTTGGGAGAGATTTTCACTGTAGGGCGCGTGCGCTCGCCAGACAGACAGAGAGAGACATAGAGACAGAAAGCGAGAAATCACCCCCCAGGGGGGATGGTCACGCCACAATCCCTTCTCCTCCATTCTCCTCTCGGGATCTTGGGCATGCACGCACACGCGCCCAGCGTGAGTTTTAAGCCACCGGGTCCGGGACACGAACCGCGGTCGACTACGTGGGAATCCAGTGACATAGCCATTACGCTAACTGCTGGTTCCCCATATGACCATGATTTTAATAAAATCAGCAAAGTCAAAACCAATAAAGTCTGACATAAAACAGTTTTGGTGTTAATATTAGTATTTGTGGGGGTTGTGGGGCTGAGGTGGTCAGGTGACTACCGTGACAAATCATCTCCTTACCGGGCAGTCAGAGGTAAAGACATCAAGATGCTTTCGATCCTGGACCCAGGAGTGAAGAGGCCAAACTTTGTGCCCCGATCATACAGCAGATTAAATTCAACATACCTGCCGTGAAGACATCAAACAACACTGAAGGCCAGCTGAGTCAAGTCTTTCTCAAGCCTAGCTCTTAAGAATATTTAAAGGGGGCCTTCTGCACCCGCCTCCCATCAGCCGGAGCTGGCGCAGAGAACACCGGCCTACTAGAGGCCACTGAGCTCCCTCCATCTGGACAGACGTAAATAAAAGGGCATTTTACTCACCAAACAATAGGATATAGATTCTGCCCCAACACAGAGCAGCTACAAAACAAGGTTATGTTTTCCCATAAATAAACAGAATGGACACAAAGCTGAGAACTTTACAGCACAGTAATTAAGGAAAAGATATGGCATCCTATCTCAGGGTAGCACAGCTCTTCCTGGCTCTTCCCGGCTCTTCCCATCCTCTGAGACGTTCCAGAACCAAAGACTTCATTTCACTGCTTACAGCTCAAAGCACTACTGCAACACAGTGTAAAACTCCTATTAACTGAAAGCCCATGAACAGCTACCAGTAATAATCCATTAACGATAACTAGTATGTTTTACATACTCCTCTTTCTTCCTTCTTTCATTTCTTTTTAAAGGTTTTTGACATAGGGCACATGCGTTCGCTGAAGAGATAAGAGACAGAAAGAAAGTGAGAAATCATCCCCCAGGATGGATGTCTACACAGCCATCTCTTCTTCTCCATTCTTTTCCTGGGATTTTGGGCATGCACAAATGCCCAGTGTGATTTTCAAGCTCCCAGGTCTGGGATTCAAACCATAATTGGCCATATGGTAGTCCAGCACTTTAATTCCCAGGCCACCTGCTGGCCTCAATAATCCACTTTCAATGATGTTAATAAACAGTTAAATATTCAATCTTTCTGCAGATTAACAGCAACCATAATAAAAGCTAATGTTTTGAGTTTCAGTATTCTGTTTTGTTTTGTTTTTAGAAAAGAATAGTTTAAAAATACATTCTTATGGCAAAAAACGAAAGATTAGGAGATCTAATAGCAGAGTTGTCAGTGTGGACACCAGGGACTATACAGGACAGGATGATTGGTGGAGGGTAGGAAGGTCAGAGTGGCAGGGAGGGGCTCAGGGAAAAAAGATTTAGCAGACACAAGAACGGGAAGTTATCTGTTGAGGGTGATGTATATGGTAATATCTTTGACTAGATTGACATGCAATGCATGTATGCTTTGAAAAACCATAGTGTACGCTATAAAGATGTAAATGATTAAATGTTAAAAACAAACAAACAAACAAAGATTCTGGGGCCAGCAGGTGGAGTGGCGGTTAGGTGTCTTGCACCTGGCAGTTTGCTTTCTCACATTCTCTCTCTCTCTCTCTTACTCTGTCCCTCTCTGGTCAAATTAAAATAAATAAAGTTAGGGACCAGCAGTTAACGTAATAGCTATGTCGCTGGACTCTCACGTAGTCGACCACGGTTTGCGTCCTGGACCTGGTGGCTTAAAACTCATGCCAGGCGCGTGTGCGTGTGTGCCCAAGATCCCGAGAGGAGAATGGAGGAGAAGGGACTGCGGTGTGGCCATCCCCCCTGGGGGGTGATTTCTCGCTTTCTGTTTCTGTCTCTGTCTGTCTGGTGAGCACACTCACCCTATAGCAAAAACCTCTCCAAATAAATAAATAAATAAATAAATAAATAACGTTAAATAAAATATACTTAAAAAAAGAAAACAAAGATTCTGTGTGTTCACAACACAAATGCTCGAGATGACAGATGTACTAATTTCCCTGATTTAACCATTGTACACGATATTCTTGTACTGAAAAAAATCACGCCATGCTTTACAAATATGTACAATTAGCATGTTAATAAAAAGGTAAGTGTTAAAAGCTAAACAAAACATATACTAAGTATCATCTAAAATTTGGTTCAGTATATTGGTTTTTCATTAACTGCTATCAGGTCAGAGCTAAACTCCATCTAGCTTAAAAATCTGCATCTGTCTTTAAGAGCATAGGATGTAAAAGGGTCTCTCTTCTCCAATTTTAAAAGGAATATTTCTACCACCCAAAACAATTTAAAAGGTCTACAGATATTAAAGTTTCAATATACAGTCCCCTTTTTGGATCATTTCTCAGTCCATTCAGAAACTACTCTCTTCGTCTAAATTTCACTCAGACAATCTATCCCACTGGTTACGGTTTTAAGTACTTCACTTTTCAAAAGCACCTTTTGACGGACCAGCAGGTGGCATGGTGGTTAAGGTGCTAGGCACTCCCACATGGCCAGCCATGGTTCAAGTCCTGGACCTGGTGGCTTGCTTTCTCACTTTCCCTCTCTTAATCTCTCTCTGGTCAAATTAAGATAAGTGAATGAATGAATAAAATTAAATAAATATTTTTTAAAAAAGCACCTTTATGTAGAAATTTATTAAAGGTCCTGTAGACATTTAAACATTTATACCCATTGACCCCCTTTCCAGTTTGTATTTTCTTTTTAACATGAATTAAGAAGGCAGTGGGAAACTGACATGGCAGGCAGCATGGCTAAGCTAGAGCTGATTCACAAGAACATCCGGCTGGAGAGGCCCTCGGGCTGGCCACTCAATACACTGAGCAGGATGGCTAAGGTGGGATCAGTGTAGAGAGCACAAACTTGCTTCCACCACTTACCTCCCTTTGTGTGCTGAAAGACTACAAGTTTTAAAGTCTTGAGGAGCCAGTTCTACACCTACGACCCTATATTTGCCAGAGAAGTAACCTTGGTTGAGGAACTTACCTCTCTGTGAGTAAGTTTAATCATCTTTACAATGATGCTTATACCTATCTCACAGGTTTGTTAAGAAAACTGGATGCAAAAGACCAAACAGTAGCTGGCACATGCGGCTTCTAAAGCCACATATATAATGAATCATTAAGTAAACATTTTGTGAAATTGCTATTTTCATTAAAATAGCTCCCATGAGGACCAGCAGATGGCCCAATGGTTATGTCGCTAGACTCCCACATAGTTGACCATAGTTTAAGTCTTGGACCCGGAGGCTTAAAACTCACGCTGAGCACATGTGCATGCATGCCCAAAATCCCAAAAGGAGACTGGAAAAGAAGGGATTACAGCATGGCCATCCCCCAGGGTGATTTCTCACTTCTGTGTCTTTGTCTCTCTAGCAAGCGCACGTACCCCATAGCAAAAACAAAACAAAACAAAACGAAAACCTCTCCAAAAAAAAAAAAAAAAAAAAAAAAACCCCCCCAAAAAAAAAAAAAAAAAAAAAAAAAATGGCTCCTATGAAATCTTTAAGATCAACAACAACAAAAATATGATTCCAAATTTACAAAACTGCAACTCAAAAACATGAAATGATGCCTACATCTCAGCATAAGGCTGAAAGGTATTGCTAGAAGACACATAAAAGAAATCAGCAAAATTAAATTTAGCAAGTACTTACTACATGCCTACTAAGAGTCACTAATGTACAGATTAAATGAATAAGCATTGCTAATTTGATCAATACTATTTTATCCCAATTTGTTTTTCAGAGATTTTTTTCCAGCACCTTAACCACTATGCCACCTGCTGGCCCCTATTTTATCACAATTTTAAAATTTCAGTTAATATTCATCTAGTTATGAAGAGATGAGGGTGAGCATTAATGCAACTGTTACAAAGTATCTATCCAAGACAACACAGAGCCTCTTCCCCAGTCACAAAGCAGTTCCTTCTCCCATCACTCACCGCCCTCTCCTGAGCTGCTGCCACAGCTTCTCCTGGGGGGTGAATGAGTCGTCACAGTGCTTCTTCACAAGCGGGATATAGGAAGGAACTAAGGCTTGGGCACAGCTCTGCACAAAGCGAAACACCTCCTCCTTGGATGGGGAGTCAAGATCATCAAAAAAGATACCGCCGATGCCCCTCCGCTCTCCGCGATGGACTATAAAAAAGTAGTCATCACACCTGGAAAACACAACGGGATCAAATCAGAAACCAAAGGGGGGTAAGAGACAAGAAAACCAGCAAGAGCCTCTCAGTTCAGAGCAGCCCTCGACTAAAGTCAGCAGTGTCCACACTTTCTGTCCTAAGGAAATGACACTAGGACTTGACAGATTTTCTGCAGACCTCACCAATGTAGAAAATGCTTCTACTCTTATCTTACCCAGGCATTTGACACAAGCCTCCAAAGAAGGATAAGGAACTCTAAGAACCTTGGTGAGAAGAGCAGAGTCCAGTACTTAGACTGTATCTCAAACAAGTGGTGGTGCCGCTTGTGCAGGAGGCAGGACAGGAATCTACCAATGGTGGCTGCAGCCAGGGCAAACCTGAGTCAGCTTTGCCCTGGGAGGTGGTAGAAACAGTCTCTAAGGCCTCTTTAGCAATAAAAGTTGATAACTCTATAGCGTGTATGACTGAGACAGGGGCTGATGAAGGAAATGCTCAGAGAAAAAGCCTTCAGACATATTAAAGCTTACCCTCGTGAGGCACCACATGGAATTTTTACCTGTTCTTGAGTCTTTTCCCCTTCCACGTCTAAGTGGAAGAACGGGTTTCCTACAAAGCCATTTCTAAGTGCTAAACTTGCAGAATAGTTTCCATCTTGGAAACAGTCCTTTTGATGATCTACGCAATAAAGGCCCCTAAGAAAAAGTGGCAGATACACATCCCCGGAATTGAAGCCTTGAGACAAATCACCTCAATTGTGATTTGCTGACTTTCTTTCACATGCACATTAACATAGTTATGGTATATCCTGAGTAAGGTTGTAAAATCAGCTTCTACGCCAAATATTACTATTTCTAAATCTCTCTTCATAAGATTATAAAATTAAGAGATTTACTAAACACATGCTAAAAACTCTTTGTAATTAGCCTGCATCTTAGAAATGTATTTTTTCTTTTTCTTTTTTTTTTTTTTTAAGAGATTTTTGCTATTGGGCATGTGCCCTCACCAGAGAGACAGAGAGACAGAAAGCAAGAAATCACACCCCAGGGGTTGGCCACACTGCAATCCTTTCTCCTCCATTCTCCTCTCAGGATTTTGGGCACGCACACACATGCACCCAGTATGAGTTTCAAGCCACCAGGTCCTGAACTTGAACCGGGGCTGACTACACGGGAGTCCAGGGAAGTAACCACTAGACCATCTGCTGGTCCTTAGATACGTTATAAACTATTAATAATTCTTCTTAGATAAAGGCATCTCTATATGTTTGCACTCTATAGCAGAAACTGAAAGATTTGAAGACACAGAAATAGAGGGCAACTGAAATAGTAGACAGAGATTGAACCAGGAGGGTGGAATAAGGAGAGAGGCTTAGAGAAAAAAAACTATTAACTAATTAACATGTATATGGGATTGTATAAAGAACACAACAAAGCAAAAAAAAGGCATTGTGATTCGTATATATGCACACATTCTTTTTCTCTCTCCACATAAAAATATATTCTACTAGTTTTTTTTAATAATAAGTAAGTTATTTTATAATCGATGGTATAAAATGTTTTCTTTGATGATGGATCTGGTAGTATCTTAGATTTGATAATCACACACTGTAAGCACACTTTGTAAAACCATGTTGTACCCCACAAAAATGTACAAAAATAAAGGTAAGTAAGAATTTATAAAATAAATACAGTTTTTTAAATGGGGGAGCTGTCTACCTGACAAGTCTCCTATCTTGGAAAAATGCTGAGTTCTGGGACAGGAAAAACAAAAACAAAAACAACCTGGACCTTATCTGCATGCGTCCAAGTCTGACCCAATTTCAGAGGTCATACAAAAAAAAGAAGAAAGTATTCAAATGCTTTATCTTTTCTGAAAATTTTACAGCCAACGACATCCTTGCATGAATGACATTAACACTCCACAGCATTAGTTCTAAAAACAAAGCAAAATGTCAAAAACCCTTTCAGCCCTTTTTGTTAAGAAACCCACTTTGCCCTAAGTCGGGTACTTTACTCTTCTTCCAATTTACGCCAAGGTGCAATCTGATATCTAAAAAATATCGTGCTGTTCTTTTCTTACTTTATCATTAGTTTCTTTGAAGAAATGGGGAACCAGCAGTTAGTGTAATGGCTATGTCGCTGGACTCCCACGTAGTCAACTGCAGTTCGTGTCCTAGACCCGGTGGCTTAAAACTCACGCCGAATGCGTGTGCGTGCGTGCCCAAGATCCCAAGAGGAGAATGGAGGAGAAGGGATTGTGGCATGACCATCCCCCCTGGGGCGATTTCTCGCTTTCTGTCTCTATGTCTCTCTCTGTCTGTCTGGTGAATGCACACGCCCTGTAGCAAAAACATGCACACACTCTGTGTAAAAAACCCGCCACAAAAAAAAAAAAAAAAAAAGAAGTCTCCAGTTGCTCTTCTCTCTGTTAAAATACTTTCTACATTGGCATCTCTCCCTGTTGGTTCTCTAACCCTTCTTATGTTCTCACACATACCCAAGTTAACATCAGGATAGTAATTCTCATCTGGGATGAGAATTTAACTTCCCAACCGACGATTAAAAAGCCCCTTCTGATTTGGGACCAGCATAATGGTTATGCTGCTGGACTCCCACATAGTCAACTAAGGTTCGTCCCCAACCCGGCAGCTTAAAACTCACACCAGGTAGCATATGCACGCATGCCCAAAATCCCAAGAGAATAGAGAAGAAATGACTGTGGCATGGTCATCCCCCCCCCAGGGGGTGGGGGGTGATTTCTTGCTTTCTGTTTCCCTCTGGTGTCTCTGGCAAACACATGTACGTGTCCTCTAGCAAAAATCTCTTAAAAAAAAAAAAAAGCCTCTGACTCTCAGGCATAGATCACCTTCTGGTTTATACACTACCATTCTACATCATTTGGGATTAAAAGAAGTGTGCTGCTACTCAATATATATTACAGGCATCCAAATATTCCTAAGTAAATGATTTATTAAACCACCTAAAACTGGCATTCTCCTTCCCTTAGCAAAGTCAGAAAACAGTCCTACTCTCCTCACTTAACGACCTGTTTAACCACCACTCGGATTTACGACCAGCTCCTCAACACTAATCTCCTTTCTCAGAAAGCCCACTTCTTAGTCCTTGTCTCATTCCCGCAGTTGGTTAGTATTCCGTACACGAAGCCTTTGCAGTCATATAAGACTGCACATTTCATTTATAAATGTATACTATTGTGCACCCATAGTAGTATTCAGAATAAAAGAAAACAATTATGCTGGATTTATCTTACTGTATTATGGCCTGTCTTGTCACTTTCTGGTGCTTATCTAATGCATGCTTTTTGTATGGATAAAAATGACATTATTCTAGAGTGGAGATGCTTTTGTCTATCTAAAAATGCAAATTCTATGGCACCAGGACCCACCAGAAAGCATCTGCCTTTAAGCTCCTCACTTATGGACCAATTAGCTTAACAACCTAGTCACAGGAATATAGCGTGGTCATTAAGTGACCTATAGTCACAAGTTGAGGAAGGTATTTGGTGACATAAGAGCTGCCTTTTGGGACCCACAGAAGAAATGGAAGGTACCTGTGGGATCGGGAGAGTTCAGAACATTAACCTACCATTTTTTAAATCGGGGGTAGAGATGAGGTCCGTGCTTGTCACAAGCCTCCTTTAGAGTTCTGTGAAAATGGACAGCATCCTCTTGATTCAAGTATGTTGGAGTGAGATCACACCCACCACCAAACCACCACTGCTTGTTACCTACAGATCAAGACAAGACATTCTGATGTGGACTCTGACAAACCCAATTTATCAGCTTAACTTATCAAATATGAAATGGATGAGTATAAAAAACCATGGGACCAGCAACGGACGTAATGGCTATGTTGCTGGCCTCCCATGTAGTCGACTGCGGTTCGAGTCCCAGACCTGGTGGCTTAAACTCATGCCGGGCACGTGCTAGTGCACACCCAAGATCCCGAGAGGAAAATGGAGAAGGGACTGCGGTGTGGCTATCCCCACTGGAGGGTGATTTCTCGCTTTCTATCTCTCTGTCTCTCTGTCTTTCTGGTGAGCACATGCTCCCTACAGCAAAAACCTCTCAAAAAAAAAAAAAAAGTAACTGAATTTAGCTCTGAAAATCAATAAGGCTTAGGAAGAAAAGCAGCAATAAAAGCAGAAAGAAAAGTAAATAAAAAATTGAAAAGAGAGGAAAATGATCTGCAGGACATTTTAAAATGTCATGAATGACAAAACACCATGCAGGAGGGCTGGGCAGTGGACATCAACTCTGGCTGCACATCAGAATAAACACCTCTGCCTTATCACAATTTTAATGAAACAAATCTCCGTCCCAGAAATCCAGTTTAAAAACTCTCAGGAAATTCTGATACTCCCTATAATAAGAACCACTACCATCTCTACCCCTTTCACCCAGAAAGGATAAAAACACTTGCTTAGTATTTGAGAATGACTGTTCTAAGTGCTTACTTAGGTGTGTGGGCTGTCATACCAGTTATCAACTGTTTTTAGATTTTTGCCATAGGGCACATGCACTTACTAGAGACAGAGAGAGAGAAAGAAGTGGGGAAAGTGAGAAATCACCACCTGCGCCTAGGGCTGGCTGTGCTGCAACCCCTTCTTTTCCATTCACCCCTTGGGATTTTGAGCATGCACACACACGTGCCTGGTGTGGTTTTTAAGCTGCTGGGTCTGGGACTCCAACAGCCCAGTTGGCCAGGTGGGTAGGATCCAGTACCGCACCTTAACCAGCACATCACCTGCTGGCCCACCAGTTACCAACTTTTAAACATGAGAAGGTTGAACCAAACTGAATGGCTTCAAAATGAAAAGTTAAAGCAGTGACTTTAGATGCCATCATCTGCAGAGACCCCCACAGGAGTAGGTGTGACACTGCACAGGTGTTCTGCCCAGAGGTAACAGATGGCCCTGCTGATGGACAACACAGTCTAAGATCATATGAATGGGAGGCACAATCCATATAAACCCACTGCAAATGCTCTGGTGACTAGTGAAATGGTGTAAAATATTTTCCAAAAGCACGTTTTCAGTTTCACTTCATACATAAGGTTTTCCTTCAAATATAATGAATTCATATGTGCAAAGACATCTGAGTGCACTTTAATGTTTGTGTTCATTAAATCCTTCCTTCTATGTTGGAGAAAATACGGAGAAGTCAGAGTTTATCAATGTCATTTTCACTTTTGACATCTAGCATATGAATCTATTGCACCTGCCAAGTACTAAGCCTTCATATACCTCATGGAAAAGCCACTTAAGATTTTATTTACTGTTTCTCACTTTTGGATGCTATGCTCTCTTATCTGTTTTATTTTGTGGGGCCAGTAAGCAGCATGGTGGTAAAGGTGCTAAACACTCCCATGTGAACGACTCCGGTTTGAGTCCCAGACCTGGTGGCTTGCTTTCTGACTTTCCCTCTCTCTCTGGTCAAATTAAAATAAAATGAATAAATAAAATTAAATAATTCTTAAACACATACACACACACATATTTTATGGGGGGGTTTTTTAGAATTATTTTATTTAACTTTATTTATTTACTTATTTTAATTTGACCAGAGAGGGACAAAGAGAGAGAGAGAGAGAAAATGAGAAAGCAAGCCACCAAATCTGGGACTCAAACAGTGGTCAGCCATGTGGGAGTCCAGCACTCTTAACCACTATGCCACCTGCTGGCCCCTTGTATGTTCAATTGTCAGAGGGCACCTGAGAAAGAAAGATAAAGCACCCTCTAGTGGGGCATGACCACACTGCAATCCCTTCTCCATTTCTACATCCTTTCGAGACTTTGGCATGCACGTACTCTCACCTGGCACACCCTACCTGGTCTGTTTTTCAACCCACTAGCCCAGGACTCAAACCATAATAAGACATGTGGGATCCAGCTTCCCTTAACTACTAGGTTACAAGGCTGGCCCTAAAATGCACATTTTGCATGATACTTTCCTGAGCTCCTGAGTTCCTTACCATCAGCTTCTTCTACTTCAAAGTATCTATAGTTGAAGTGGATAGTAGGAGCGTGAGGGTTCTTAGGGTGGATAACAGAGCTCACACCCATAGCAGAAAACGGCAATTTACCTGAAAAGTAAAATACGTGGTGAGTTGCATTCAATCACCTAGCTTGACACAAATAAACTCTAATGTGACTTCGGAATAGATTGTTTTTTTTTTTAAGCTGCTTTTTAAATTGTCTCTTAAAATTTAACCTTTAAAAAGTAACTGTGAACATACTTATCTGGCATATGTACCCAAATAGGCCTTTCCAGAAGCAATCTTTATTTTATAAATAAAATGGAGTGAAAAAGATTTGCAGGGACTATCAAGTGCTAATAAGACTGTCTAACTTACCATCTTTAGTCTTCAGATTTTTTCCTCTGCTTCTCATTTGTTTTGCTGCTTCCTCAGAAAGATTTCCATGAACAACAGAAATGCTCACCCCAGCCTTTTCAAAAACACGCCCATCTTGAAGAACACAGCTGATACCGCCACCTCCTGTTTATAGAAGCATAAAATTGAGACTGTAAGAATATGTGCACACTGAACTCAACCCTTACACAAAAGTAATGGGAGTAGGGGTTATCTTCCTCCTCTCACTCGCAAATTTTCTATCATATTATCATAGAAATATTCCAAAATAATAAAAAAAAAAAACCTCAGAACACTTTTGTAATACTTTTGGTCCCAAGCATTTTGGTTAAGGGACACTCAACATATATAAGTCTAAGAACTGGAATTTAATACCAAAGTATTTTGATATTAGAAGGAAAAACTTCCTATCAGGAAATCTGATAGATGCATTTGCTAGAATGATTCACAAACCAATGAAATAATTCTTATGCAATAAGAAAAAGAAGTGGGGAGATGCTAACACAAGGACAGCCTCGGCTGGGGAATCTGTGGGTGTGTAGGGCCCTCCTTCCCATCTTTAATGGAAAGTAGATGAAATGGGGGGGACTATGTTCATTAACTCACTTTGAGTATTTAATCGTGTTATCTACAAATACTCAAGATTTCTACAATAAATGCCATTATGGAATTGCAGATTTTAGTACAGGCAACTTTTCCATTAAAAAAAAATTGCCTGGGAGTAGAAGTGTTTCAAATTTTGGAATACTTGTAAATACATGAGATATTCTACAGAGGGAACTAAAGACTAAACACAAAATTCATTTAGATTCATACACATCTTATATATGTAGCTTACACAATATTTTTAATATTTCACCTCTTGTTTGTAGGTACGGAACTTTACTTTGGAGCATTTCAGATTAGAAATTCCCAACCTATACTAGGTAGATTGCAGATTTGGACACACCCCTGATGATCCCTTCAGTGTCATGTGTTGCTGTTGTTTTGTTTTAGGGCAGGCGGGCTCCCTGGAGACACAGAGATAGAAATCGAGAAATCATCCCCTGATAGCCACGCCACAATCCCTTCTCCTCCATTCTCTTGTCCAGATCTCTCTCTCTCTCTCTCTCTCTCTCTCTCTCTCACACACACACACACACACACACACACACGCACACGCACACAAACTCTCAGCATGAGTTTAAATCGCCGGATCCGGGACTCGAACCGTAGTCAACTAGGTGTGAGTCCAGCGACGTAACAATTACGCCATCTGCTGGCCCCAGTGTCTATCTTGTTAACAACGTCCATTCCAACGAAGCAGCCCCTCTGTGGGTATCCACAGCCTAAATCCGCATCCCTTATTCTGGGCTATTTTCTGCCAGCCAGTCAAAAGCCAACGTTTTCCCTCCATCGCCCTCCTCACCTTCCTTCCTCTCCCACCGGTCCACTGAGAAGTTGGCGCCCCCGTCTACCTGTGCCAGCGCCTGGCACACCTGGGCCTGAGTCTCGAGGATCAGCAGCTCCATCTTAGTCTTCATGTCGCCCGGCCTCCTCCGCAGCTCGCGCAGATCGGTCACCGGTGCAGCCATGAAGCAACTGCAGCGGCGGGAGAGCTCGTCCTCCTCCTCCGGCCTCCCAGGCGAAGGGCTCCGCGTCCCCGAGCTCTTGGGCACCATCTCCGCCTGCTGCACGTGCCCCAAGGCGGCGGCGGCCAGCCCTGCCAGCGCC